TTATAGTTGCACCTTTTGTTATCAAAATGGACAAAACTTTGAATGATCAAATTTCGACCGTGCGAAAACGAGCAGTCATCCTATTCCGCAAAGTTACACATTCCTGCATTCCACAAGGCTATCAAAAGCTAATCAACATTCAATTCCGGAATTCCTGACATCCAATTCCAACATATGCGATGGAATTTTCCGGAATTCCTGCGTATTCCTGCATAGGTTCACGTATTCACCTTCAACTGAACCTTGCTATAGAAATAAAGATGCAATTCCGCTTTAGAATTCCGGAATTACATGGACATGGAATGACCAATAATTCCTGCATTTTCCTGCAAAGGTTCATGTATTCATGTTTCACTTAACATCGGGATAGAAATAAAGATGCGATTCCGTTTTAGAATTCCGGAATTGCATGGATGCGGAATGACAAGGAATTCCTGCACATTCCTGCATATTCCTGCATAGGTGCATGTATTCATGTTCTACTTAACGTTCCGATAGAAATAACGATGCAATTCCCCTTTCAATTCCGGAATTGCATCTATATGGAATGACCAGGAATTCCTGCACATTCCTGCACATTCCTGCACACTCCTGCATAGGTACATGTATTCATGTTCTACTTAGCATTGCGATAGAAATAAAGATGCAATTCCCCTTTGAATTCCGGAATTGCATCTATATGGAATGACCAGGAATTCCTGCACAATCCTGCACATTCCTGCATGTTCCTGCATAGGTACATCTATTCATGTTCTACTTAACGTTGCGATAGAAATAAAGATGCAATTCCCCTTTGAATTCAGACATTGCATCTACGTGGAATGACCAGGAATTCCTACACATTTCTGCACATTCCTGCATATTCCTGCATAGGTTCATGTATTCATGTTCTAGTTAACATTGCGATAGAAATAAAGATGCAATTCCGCTTTAGAATTCCTGAATTGCATAGACATGGAATGACCAGGAATTCCTGCACATTCCTGCACATTCCTGCACATTCCTGCATACTCCTGCATAGGTACATGTATTCATGTTCTACTTAGCATTGCGATAGAAATAAAGATGCAATTCCCCTTTGAATTCCGGAATTGCATCTATATGGAATGACCGGGAATTCCTGCATATTCTGATGATGACGGCTGTGCACAAATTCCGGAATTCCGCTTTGCATTTCGTGAAGCTCGAGAAATGATCATTTAGCCATGGATGACATATTTGTAATTCCGGAATAGGCAGGAATGACCCGGAATTCCTGCATATTCTAGTGTCTCTGCATGTGCACAAATTCCGGAATTCCGCTTTGCATTTCTTCAAGCCCGAGAAATGATCATTTAGCCATCCATGACATATTTGTAATTGCGGAGTACGCAGGAATGACCCGGAATTCCTGCATATTCTAGTGTCTCTGCATGTGCACAAATTCCGGAATTCCGCTTTGCATTTCTTCAAGCTCGAGAAATGATTATTTAGCCATCCAAGACATATTTGTAATTCCGGAATAGGGAGGAATGACCCGGAATTCCTGTATGTCCTAGTGATTTCGCATAGGCAGAAATTCCGGAATTCCGGGTGGATATCGAATAGATCTTTGGAGATGATCATCCCTTTATTCAGTTTATCCTTCGAATTCCGGAATCACCCGGAATGACCAGGAATTGGATGTTGATATTTGGGATGTGAAGGGAACTAGGAATCAGGAATTCCTGGTTGTTGCATGTTTTTGAGGGAAAGAGTCGTTTTTGCTTTTCCGGATTGATGGTAAGGGAGTGCATGTCAGAAGGCGATGCAGGAATGTGTAACTTTTGGGAATAGGAAGTATTCTCGCGAAAACGATATTGTTTTGGTACAAGATAAATTCGTTTTTTTGTCTTATTTCATCTTTTTATCACCTGATATCTTTTATTTAAAAAAAGAAGAATCTACCACAAGATGCAGCATGAAAAGCTTTACAATTTATAAAGGACAACTGATTTTACAGCTATACTTTTTGTTTTCAAAGTCGACAAAATTCTGAGCGACCAGATTTCGACGCTGGGAAAAGTCTTTTCTTCAATAAACGACCAATATGTTTTTGTCTAATTTGTACCTGATACGTTGCATTAAGAAGGGTGTGGGTGTGGGTGTGAGTGTGTGGTGTGGGTGTGGGTGTGGGTGTGGGTGTGAGTGTGTGGTGTGGGTGTGGGTGTTGGTATGGCTGTGAATCTTCAGCTAAATTACACCCATACCCAATCCCACCCACACCCACACCCATCCACACCCTCACCCCACCCACACCCACACCCATCCACACCCTCACCCCACCCACACCCACACCCACCCACATGCACACCCACACACCCCACACCCACCCCCATCCACACCTACATCCTCACAACCACACCCCACACACCCACACCCTTATTCAAAAACAGAACATGTATCCATCCGAACGTGTCAAAAGGCTTTAACGAAAATCAATATAATTTTGAAAGCATTTATTTGCGAATATGGTATCCAATCATCAATGAACTGAAGACTCGTTACATAAATTTTATTTATACTTCTGAAATTTGTAATAAACCAAACATGTACCAACGTATTAATTCGACGAAATGTATCTCAATAAATCATCTTATGAATAATATATTTGATTGCCCACAAAAAGACGATGAAGATATCAAGCAAGTTAACAATATCAATTCAACTAAACTCCTAAAACAGTTTTTCAAATATGAAATTTCTAACAAATATATCCATTTATTATTTGTTAAAGATGGAATTTGTGGTTGCCAGGTTTATAATCCAGAATGGTGTGATGATGAAGATTTTCATATCTATAAGACAAGAATGAATATTTCATTTCAATATATTTGTAATGGGAATACCAATATGTCTCCAATAATCATTGAAGGTAAAAATGAAACAGATGAGACAGAATGTGAAGAATGACCATGCAATAACATTTATACTCGTTGTAATGGCTTTTGGTCTTGTTCGAATGGTGCAGATGAAACGGACTGTAATTCATATTCAACATTAAAGTGTTCAACAGCTGAACACATATGTGTCTCGCCTTATACAAACCAACTCATATGTATATCTGTTGACAAAGCTAATGATGGCAATATTGATTGTCTTGGTGCTACTGACGAGCCTAAATTATGTCAAGGGATAGAAGAAATATATGATATCCCTCGTTTTTACTGTATTGATGGTAACAGTTTCTTATGCCTTGCTACAAGTAGATTGTGTGATAAGAAAAACGATTGTTCATTGAACGATGATGAACGATTTTACTCAGCAAATAGTGTAAATCTTATAGAATCTGGTGGTCCATGTGCTCAGAGCAATTTTTCTATTATTTCTGATACCGAGCGTCTCTTATGTCATTCAATATATTCCAGCTTAAAAGAACTAATGAAATATTTTTCATTAGATACAACTAAAAACTCTTTTCCGTTGCCAACGAAAGCTTTGCCAACAGACACATTAACGGAAACAAGTGGTTTTGAAATGTTTGGCATACACAATCTTAGATATCACCATGGTATTCCTATGTTTGTTTGGTCGGAAATGGAAAAAAGCATCATATCAAATGTAGCCTTTGTCCATCAGATTTTTATGGTGATAGTTGCGAATATCAAAATCAACAAGTAAATATCATCATTAGATTTCAAGCATTATCAGATTCCTGGTCAACATTATTTGCAATAATTGTTTCACTTATCGATGATAGCGACGAAAGAATAATCCAGTCATTTGAACAATTTACATATTTATCAATGAGAGATTGTAAAATTAAATTTAATGCTTATTTACTTTACTTGACTCAACCAAAAAATCAAACAAAAAATTATGTAATACATATTGATATCTAAGAAAAGATTTCATTGACTTATCGAGAAAGTCTATTATATCCTATCAAATTTCCATTTTTACCTATCCACCGTCTGGCATATGCGATTACTATCCCAGAAAAGAATGAACAATTTCAAAGTCGTTCAAATCTTCGATGTATTCATGGTAAATGTATTATGTATTCAAATAAGATTGTGTTCAAAGCCGACGTCCAGTCGAAATTGGTACCTAATTTGTTTCCAATAATCAATCTCACTCCAATTTCTAAACGGTTCTATTAGATGCAGAATTTTATTCTTTATCGCGTAGTTTTATTTATGCTAGTGATTATCGGAAAATAATCAAGTTTTGTTCCGAAATACCAAACTTTTCACAAAGCCTAGACAGTAGTCCTGATCCAACATCGATCTTTCATCGATGTTGTAGATGTGGAAGTTTTGTTTATTCACTACTCTTTGCACATCAATTGAAGGAAAATAGATAGAAGAGTGTATGGAACTAAAAATATTTTATCCTTACCTATTACATCCTTCATGAATGATCTGTAATCCACAAAATGCTATGTTTTGTCAATGCAATCAAAGGATGGTCTGGACGATGCTGTACAATACCATATATTTGCACATGTTCGTCTGATTCAATATGTATTGATGTATCTGCTTATAATCGATCCGTCTGTGTATGTCCTATTAATAAATTTGGTTATCGATGCCTATACTTACAGGTAATATTTGTGAAACGAATAATACTTTAACATGTCAAAATGGTGGTCAATGTATTCCTGCTGATGTACAGATACGACCAAAGCAAAAATTTATATGCATATGACCGAAAAGGTTATGGTGGGGATCGATGTGAAATAGTCGATAACAAAATTATTCTATCATTTAGAGATGATATAGTTTTATCTTCATCAGTATTTATTCATTTTATAGAAGTTATTCAGAATGATTTTCAAAAACGAACAACTACTCTTCGAACAATACCTCCTATACAAAAATCACTTACAATATTTTGGTCCAAACCATTTAATCTTATTTTTATTGAAATTTACAATAAAAAATTTAAATCTTTCTTGTTTTTATGATGATATTCATCTGTGTTTTTGTTATGTTTTTCAAAAACAACGTTTAGCTAATTGTTTTGAATTTAATCATAATATGAATTATGATTGTTTAGGTCAAAGTTCTTGTGAAGGTGGAAGTCAATGTTTTCAAGACGATCATATATGTCCAAGCAGATCAGTATGTATATGTTCACCATGCTTTTATGGAACACGATGTCAGTTTAGTGTAAATGGATTTGGTCTATCACTTGATGGTATTTTAGGTTATCATATTCAAGCACATATTGATCTTTTTAATCAACCAAGTATTGTACTATTTAGTTTATCAGTAGTGATAGTCAGCATGATTGTAGGACTTATCAATGGAATTTTGTCACTGATAACATTTCAAAATAGACAAGTATGCGAAGTTGGTTGTGGTTTCTATTTATTAGGTTCATCAATTACAACTTTATTAACAACAGTTATGTTTGGATTAAAATTTTGGATACTTGTTCTTGCACAAATGACAGTTATATCCAATCGATTATTTTTACAAATTCAATGTATATCTTTTGATTTTCTTTTACGAGTTTGTCTTAATATGGATCAATGGTTAAATGCATGTGTAGCTATAGAAAGCACTATTACTTTATTAAAAGATCTTAATTTTAATAAGGAAAAAAGTAAACGCAATGCTAAAATAGTTATCATCATTCTTTCAATTTGCATTGTTTCTACAAATATTTATGATTCGTTTCATCGACATTTAATTGATGAAGAAAATGAAGACGGTAAACGAACTTGGTGTATTGCAACTTATCCATCTCGTTTACAAACATACAATTCTTTTATACATACATTTCATTTCTTCGCTCCATTTATGAATTAATATAGTGTCGACTTTTATCCTGATAGTAAAGAAAGCTCGTAAAAAATCAAATGTTCAGAATAATGCAAATTATAAAGAACTTTTAAAAACACAAGCTCGAGAACACAGACGTCTATTTATTGCACCTGTTGTGTTGGTTATTCTTGTGTTACCACGTTTAATTATTTCATTTCTGTCAAGATGTATGAAATCAACAGATGACTCATGGTTATTTCTTATAGGATATTTTATTTCATTCATTTCATCAATGCTTACATTTGTTGTATTCGTATTGCCATCAAAATTTTATAAAAAACAACTTCGGCAAACTCTCATCACTTACCAAACTAAGATACAACGATATTTTTAAAGTGATAAATAAAAATAATTAAAACTGTTTTTTATTGAATTTTATTCGTAGATGTCTAATACTGTAGCAATGATAAATCTCGAAAGTGTGAAAGGATTGGTATGAATATTATATTCTTTTGTTTTAATCTTTGTTGTTTTATCTGCTTCTTTGTCTTGTAATGTATGTCATTAATTTTAGTAAAACTGGTAAAGACATAATCTTTTTCTTTGTTATTTGGGTGTTTTTGATCTGGCAACCCTGATATTCACACATGTCTCCTATGTTAACACTTGTACAATTATGTTGAATTATATTTTATATATCTTTTTCAACGAGCAATAACATAATATATTTAAATCATAATCGATGGATACGATTATCTAACAATATAAATCATTTTCATGCTTTTGATATTCAAAATTCATAAGGATGAGACAGATTAAATTACTGGGTGTTGGTAAGATTTTGTCTCAAGTTCGAATTCATGAATAAGTTTCGTACTGTTATTAAAAGATAAAGAAGTTTGTGCAAATTTTATTGATATGTTCTTTTTTTTATAAATATATAGTATTCTTCTATAGCATTTAATATTTACTCAATCATTAAATCAGAAATCTGCATAGCCCAAATTTCAATCAACTGGACTAACTTTAAAAATTTCATTCTTGTTGTAAAACGCATAAAATATTTTTGTGTGTCTTACTGTGCATTGTTACATTTCTTAAGTAATTTTCTCACGACTTGACCTTACAAAAGAAATTCTTTCTGTGTAAATAAATGCAGGATTTCAAGTTCTACAAATTGTAGTCCTTTATACGATTAGACACAATTTCTAAGCAAATAACAAACTTAAAAAGTTTTTGTTTACATGAAAGTACAATTAGGAATATTTTGTAGAAGATTTTAAACATAGTAAGACTCAATCCTAAAACAGATTGTATGACTGAAAAAAAACACATTTCTATACTTTTTCTAGGCATACTTGAGAACATATAGAATATTGTTGAACAGATAAAAATAACATTTTATTCAAATCACATTCTGAGTAAATTATATATGAAATCTGCATATAATTCTCTACTTTACAGTACCAGTGCGAAACGATTTCTGGAAGTCTAACTTTAGAAAAAAAACCCTATTAAGAATTGGCAATTTACTCTAGGACTCTCCTTATTATAATGTACGCCTTTCTTTTGAAGATGAGTTAAATTGTGACATATTTTATTGAATACGACAATATAGGCATGAACGAAAAAAAGAAATTCTTTCAATGCTAATCCCGAATTATTTTATTTTTATTTGGCGAAGAAAGAATTAGAAAATCTTAATATATGAATGATGGTCAACACAAAAATTCGTTTCATGTTCAAAAACAATGCATATGAAGTTGAAGAATGTAACAGTCTTCGTTCCTTTAGATTTCGCTGCTATAGAACTGAATCCTGCTTAAAAACTAATGTTCATGGGATGTTTTACCATCTTGAAACTTTTAGATTTGTGTGAAATCGGTATGGATTCCGAGTTCCACGGAAGAAAAACCTGATAGATAATTGTCCAGTTTAATACTCAGATAATGATGAGGTGACTTTTTTCGAACGGAATATAGTTAATTTAATTTTGTCAACTATCTTTACTTATTTATGAATAATATAAAAATATCAAATCATGGATAAGGCACTGTATGCATTCCTTTTTTTTTGGAAATTTATATTTAGTTGGAATTTCATTAAGAAAATTGTGAATCAAAGTTAAATACTAGAAGAAAAGATTGTAATGCACACAGATCGAGAGTTACATCCACTCTACAATAATCTTATGACACAAATGAAGACCATCGTGCAGAAAAGTGACGATTGCTTGTACATTTAAGACTTTTCTTTTATAAAGGTTGTGAGTCTGATGAGGCTAAGATTGAACAGTGAAACGATCTCCATTCATAGATTTGTTGTATTTGTTCTTGCATTAGAATGTGCTTTAAAAGCAGTAAATAGAAACTTTGATCAAGATAATTTGTTAAATAATAAAAGTAGAAAGTTTATTGAGCTAAATAGCACGACTGCATGTACAATTCAAATAGGTATGGTAAGGAGAAAATCAAATAGGCTGTTGACATTTGTTATAACAAGATCTGATTTTCCTTTATTATTTTAAAGCAAAATAAACTTAATCAAAATGCTAAGAATTATCAAATATAAGTTTAATATCATAGCTTCGAGTAGTATTGCATTAGAACTTCACAGAAAAAGAATAAATAGTTACAAAAGTTAACATCTATTGATGATCAAATCGTACAGATAATATATATCAGAAAAAAAGTGTTGTAAAAATAGATTTTTAACATATTTATTTTTAAATTAATCGATGAAATAAATTAATTTTATAAATTTTCATAACAAAATATCTTTGAAAGTTAGGTTTTTTTTCTTTGATTTTTCAAACTTTCGCATGTTTATTAGAAACTTGAATAAACAGAATAGTCTATCATAACATGTTTTATTTTGGATTAAATAATCGACATAAATGATGTAATACTATAGAAATATTGCCAATCAAAATTTGTCTACTTTTATCTCCATTCTAATCTTGCTATGATTTATATTAATTCTTTCACTGTTCAATTAGTGAAAAATAAGTATTTTTAACAGTACTTAATTGAGCCTAACTTTTACAAAGGCATACTGTCGAGATTAATTTCTTCTGTAAAATAATAAATTGCAACGAGCCAAAAATATTGAAAAATAGAAAGTCAAAAGAATCAATATGATACAAATCATTTTCACTATTTTCAATGCTATCCCGAATTTTCCTTATTCATATCCTAAATTTTAAATCAGTTAAGTATGGCAAGAAGTATGGTTACACATTAATTTCCTACAAAAAATATGTTATCAATCATAATTGGAATAATAAGACGTCAACAACCTACTATTCATTTTGAAAATATTTTCTTTGTAATATTTACTAACAATTAAACTATTCCAATGATCATCGAATCACTTAGTTCTTTGCTGTGTTTTTCTCAATGATGTATTTTATATATTGATGAAGTAGCAATACCGACAATCGATCGTATATGACAGTACCTTGCACACACACGCTTATGAATATAAAAACTGAAAAAAAATTAAATAGGGAGAAGTCATACTATTGTTCTTGTCATTTAATAGTGGTAATGAATTTTTTACCAATCATTCATTTATTGCCTTAAAAAACACATATTTATTAATAGTTATTTAAATAAATAATTCTTTATTCTACAATACTCTTCAATATACCAGAGAAAACAGTAAAACCAACAAAAATTAAGAGAGAAAAAAATTAATTAAATAGTTCTAAATAATAACTGAAATAAATATCATACTGTTATCTTAATGTTTCCTTACATAGATATCGAAATATGTAAAAGATTGAGATATATATATCATCATTCAATCATAATTTCAATATTTTCTTGATAATTGTTTGAATTTTTACAGAAAATATAACTTCAATGATCAATAGAACAGCTTGTGATTTTTTATTCATGTATTAAAAGTCAAAAATAAACAAATTAATAAATGAGAAAGAAAAATGAAGAAATGATTCATTTTGTGGATATTTCAGACTTAGAAAATATAAGTTACTTGATGATGCAATTTATAGCAGTCAGTATGACTTTTTACTTCTCAAACTGAACAACAAAATGTTAATAGAAAGAAATAGGTTATCAGATTTTCCTTTCTTTTCACTATTGATTATTTTTTCTAATCATCATTGCAACATGACATAAATATCCAAAAAGATCTTTTCTTTTTATTAAATTCCATTCATTAATATTAAATCGATGATAGAACTAAAATTTTCCTACACAATTGAACAAATTTTGTATTTCATTATTTCTTTTTTGATACAGCCTCTCAAGTTGTGTCCTGATAATGATATAGCAAGTTCTCATCTACTTTAATTCAGATCCAAGTCTATATTCTAATAAAACATCAGCTAACTTTTATCTCATTATAATGTATCGACAATTGTTTAACTGTAATGATCATATATTTGTAAAGTTCCATTTTGTGAATAAAGTCATCTGTGAAAACGATTGTTGCATTAATACTCTAGATCATGCACTGAAACGATATTGATGAATATATGCTTTTATTTGATATATACAATGCGAGCAGCTTGATTTTCAGTGCCACAGGGAATTATCTTTTTATCGTACTTATTCATGAATTTTCTGCCTAGATCACAAATATTTATTGTAATATATCTAATCATTCTGATTCGATTGTTCAGTTTGAAGTTTAAAGTAGAACGATTAATAATGTTTTATTAACCTGAAATACTACAGGCGACATACCAGCGATGTATCCAGAAGATGGAATGGCGAGGATCAATTCTTCTCCTGAAAAAGTTTCTCTATAGGTCGCTGCGACATACCTGAGTATGAAAACATAGGAAAGAAATCAGTAAAATTAAATGATGCTTTATCTTTTATAGAGAGTTATGATATAATTATATAATTAAGTAAATCTTTTCTTGTACATGAACGCCATACATCATTTTATTTTTTTTATAATTTTTTACAATGTGTGTCTTCAGCATACTTGCTTACATTCTTTATTATGTTTAATACATCAGTTATGCAATATCAATACAGATTCTCGCAAGAATTCATGCTGTTTGCCGA